ATTAAAGAGTTTGAACTGTTGTACAACCCATTTTAGTACAGGCAAATAAGGTGAAAGTAAAAAATAAGTAAAATTTGTGCTATTAAAAGAAAAATTGTTTATCTCATAAACTAACCACTTTAACCTACAAGTATTATACATTTTTGAAATCAGCTCAAAGAGGAGTATCCAAATTTTACATAAAAAATATGAGAAGTAATTAAAAAAAAAAGAAGGATGATGCTAGGGGTGAGGGGGTGGCTTTTCCAGTAAGTTTAAATAAGCCCCTTCCAACATAAATTGACGTGTTTTTGGATTTTTCCTAAATACCAGTATTACAAAAGTTATTAAAGGTGGATACTTTTATCTGAAAAGCACTGTATATTTATTGAAGATAACTCAATAACAGAGGTACTGAACTCAATTGAGTAATAACAGAGGTACTGAACTCAATTGAGTACCTGAATTTTGTTTACCTGTGACAATGTGGGTACGCTAGTTTGAAAACCGGTGAGTAAACTAGTTCGATTTGATCATTTAGCAGGTTACATGTGCAATGCTTTTACTTATGAGTTTCCAAGGATTCCAAAAAATTGAGTTTCCAACCCTTGCTTGTATTGTGCAGAATTTCCGAATCGTTAAGATTGGGGAACTTGTGGTTGCATTCCATTGATTATACAAAACTGTACACTGTGTTACAGAACGAAAATTGGTTTGATGTTATAAATTGCAATGAATCACAAAACTCCTATGATAACTTTATTACTCAATTTGAAAAACATTTAAAAGTCTGCACTACAAGACACATACGTGAAAAAAATCTTCGCACAAACTTAAACCGTGGATCACTGTAGGTTTAATCAAATCTATAGAGCATAGAGATAAAATTAAACTGAAAATGAATAAAAATATGAACCCAGAATTGAGAAATGAATATAAGCGGTATAGAAATGAATTGAGTAAATTATTACGAATTACAAAAAATTACTATTACAGAAATAAATTAAAGGAAAATAGTAAAGATTGCAAAAAACATGGGAAACAATCAATGAAATAACTAATAGAAATATAAAACAGAAAAATATAGGGGAAATCAAATTAAAAGATAAGTTATTTAGGGAAGATAAGGAAAAGGCAAACGTTTTCAATGAATATTTCGCTAGTGTTGGCACATAAATGACTAAAAAAATAAATAAATCATATAGAATGACCCCAAAATTTTTGAACGATAAATCAATAGTAAATTCAATATTTCTCACCCCGGTAAATGATAAAGAAATTATAAAAATTATATCAAAATTAAAAAATAATTGTGCACCTGGTCCCGATGGAATTAGTTCCAAACTTATAAAAACTCTACACCTGTATTTGGTACAACCCCTTGTCTATATAATCAATTTAATATTCAAAACTGGCAAAATACCACTGCAATGGAAATATTCCATAGTCACTCCCGTTTTTAAATCTGGTGATAAATCCAATCCCAGCAACTATCGACCAATTTCTGTAATAGATAATTTTGCGAAGATATTGGAGCATGCCCTCAAAATTCGCCTACTGGAATTTTTTCAAAAAAATGAGGTATTAACAGAAAGGCAGTATGGATTCATTAATGGAAGTAATACTGAACTAGCTGTTTTAGATTTATTTAAGCAAGCATCGGATGCCTTAGACAATTCAAAAAAGTGTCTTGCAATTTTTCTTGATTTGGCCAAGGCCTTTGATACAATTTCTCATGAAGCACTCTTGAATAAACTGAATTTATATGGAATACGAGGACCAGCAAATAATGTTTTTACAGATTATCTTTCTTGTAGAACCCAACGGGTCAAAATAGGTAACAATGTTAGTGAACTGGCTAAAATCTCTAGTGGCGTACCTCAAGGTACCGTTTTAGGCCCAATACTATTTTTAGCATATATTAATAGTTTAAGTCGCATAAATAATTTCAAAGGGCACCTCATATCATATGCTGACGATACTGCAATTATCTGTACAGGTGATACATGGCAACAGGTATATAAAGTAGCAGAAGAGTGTTTGGGTAAAATACAAATTTGGTTAAGTAACAATCTTCTCAACCTTAATGTTGAAAAATCGAAATTTATTACTTTCACTCTTCTGAGCAACCACCAACCTGTCCAACAAAAAATGTATTTCCATATGCCAAAGTGTTCTGAAACCATTTGTGAATGTCCATATATTGAAAAAATAACTAAAATAAAGTATTTAGGAGTTGTAATGGACCAACATCTGAGATGGGATGAACATTTGCAATATATAGTAAAAAGACTTAGACATCTTAGCTACAAAATGTATGAACTCAGGGATATACTCACAAAAAAAAGCTTAATTATTGTTTACAAATCTCTTGCTGAGTCAGTTATACGATATTGTAACACAGTGTGGGGTGGAATGTTTGAGAATGTGCTAAATATTGTACAGGTGCTCCAGAATACAGTTTTAAAAATAATCTTGGAAAAAAACAGACAATTTGATACAAAAAAACTCTATTCTGAAACTAATCTGCTTGATATAAGACGTTTGTATGCACACCAGTGTCTCAGATGGATATACTCAAACAATTTCAATTATTCTAAGGCAAATACAAAGTACACCAGAAATGTACATAATCTATCCATTGATGAACCCCTTTACAAAAAAAGTCATACCCAACGTTCAGTCTACTATTTCGCTCCAAAACTGTATAACATGCTTCCCCTTGAAATAAAGATAAATACCACATTTTTAAAGTATAAAAAAATACAAAAGAATTCATAATTGTAAATAATACCCGTATAAACAGTTTATTCACATACACACATACCCAATGACCCAGAAATATCACTCAGTACATTTTCTAATCTTCCAATGTGTCTTTCAGTGTATGTGTACCTATTTCCAATATTATGTAAACCTAGATGTATAGATAATTATAGGTACTTATTCTCATAAATAATACCAGCTTTCTCTGTCTATTCACTAATACAACTGCAACAGTTATTTAATCTTTTGTTACTTTTGTGCCTGATATATTTTTAAAGTACTTCCACGGGGAGACAGACGGAAGCACATTACAAGCCACCTGCGCTTAGGCTGCTTTCCTCAAACTTCTAGTGGTCCTAACCATAATATTAATAAATTGTATATTAACATATTCCAAATAAAATTGAAGGACCCAATGTTCAACATACCGTTTTTGGAAATTTCAACCGCATTGTCCCACATAAACACTATTACACTCCGGTCACTTGAACTTATAAACTCCAGATTTCTCTCTTTTCCACTTCACTTTTGGCATTAAAAATACAATTTAATAATCTGGCATGTAATCCGAATGAAACTTCCACATTGATTTTTCTGAAAAATTCCTCTGTTCTGGGACAGAGACTTGTACGGGTATGCCGATTTCTGATTCCGGACATCTTCAATAATGTAAGGAACGCTTTCGAAAGTAAACTATGGAACTAGATGAAGGTCATTTTGAACACTTTATCCGTTGACTATGTTACCATTGATATTACTTTTGTTGATTTACTCAATAAAATGAGCGACAGCGAATTTTATGTTTTTTCTTAAATAAAACGTTCAAGATTTAATTTCTCAATAACGAATAAACCAATTTCGAAAAAAAATACAGAAGTAATAGAGGAACAAAAATACCTTTCAAATGATGTATCACTTGACCCCCCATGCCATTTAAAAAATAGGGGGGACAATTGCTGACCACAGGGGGGTGAAGTTTCGGGTATGATTTTCATCAGCGGCGGCTCGTCAGAGGAGGCTAGCCTCCCCATAAAATTTGATGCTATTCATCGCAATGAATCAAAAGATATTGACAAATAATTATGATTATTTTTTTCTAAAAATGCTTGGTTATCATTACTTTACCATTAATTTTCAAAATAAATACATAATATGCCAGAAAAACACTATCACTCACTACGTAGTCCGTAACACACTGTATCCTGCATCAACAAAACTCAAACGCACCGCCCATGAACGAATAAACCATCAACCCGAAATAATAAATGCCATACGTTGCAAGGGAGCCAAACCTCCGAGCGCTTTAAAATTCACAAGCTCCACGAGACCGATCCAACCAGAGACATACGTCCCGATTTGTAATTTCAGTTGCAGAAATTATAGCGTTAGAGGAGGCTAGCCTCCAGTTGGTCTCCCTTAGTGTACGACTGCGTTTGTTTTTTATTTAATTATTCGGACGGGATGTCGTGACGGACCGGGACTGAAAAATATTTCGGTAAATCGGTTTTTGATAGATACAGCTTGAAAAGAGGCCATGATTTCTTTTAATAATCAGGTTAGGGAAAATCGGTCGAATTTAAAAAGACTTATCGATATTACGATTTATTTGGGTTCCCAAGAATTAGCATTTCGTGGACACGATTAAACCGAAGATTCGATTAATCGCGGCAATAACAAGGAACTTTTAATGTTATGGGGCAAATATGATTCACAATTTGGCACTTTTTTAAACGGTAGCGTTTTTTCAGGCACCTCAAAAACCATCCAAAATGAGCTTATAGACAGTGTGGCATATATTATTAAGGAAAATATAAGTAAGGAGATTGAAAGTGTTCCTTTTTTTTGCATGGGAAATTGATTAAACTACTTATGTTACCTGTACATCACAACTTTCAATCGTTTTTAGATATGTCAAAGATGGTAATGTGGTAGAACGTTTTACGGGTTTTCATGATGTTTCATCTGGGCGCACAGCTGACGATTTGTTTAATTTTTTAATTCATACGTGTGACACCTATAAGATGGGGCTGCGGTCATGGCCGGCCATCAAAATGGTTTACAAACTAAAATAAAGTCCATAGCTCCTCATGCACGAGCCGTCACTGATTTTCATATCAGAATTAGTCCTCCTAGAAATGAAAATTTTCTAACTTACAGGGAGGGGTCAAATTTCCGTTGAAACGTCCTGTATATAAAATGAGAGGCTTACATTCGTTGTTCAATTAAGTTGAGTACCCTCTGTTATTACCTACAGGGGTTTAAACATGTAAGGGCTAACATTATTAACTATTTTCAGTTTATTGTATTTGTTTGAAAACTGTAGTAATTTAGTTACAAATACAAAGTGGTATATAAACATAGAAAGTCTAATTTCTTATTTTTCATTATGATTTCCTACCACATGGTAACGGCTAGATCCATGGATTTATTAATTGGTGAAAGGTTTCACTTCATCATTGTATCTACATTTATTAGTGTCTGCAACGCCGATGTCTCAAAAAACAAAATTCCTAATAATTCTTTACGTTATTGCCTAAAAGCTAAAAAATATGTTATCACTAGCGTAATCGAATCATTCGAATAAGTTCTGAAAACAAATTAGATATAAACAGTAAGTTATTTATACAGATTACCATATTGCTATCAAAATAATGAAGCTAACATTTGAACCCAAAATCAATAAAAACTGCGTCATACACATGCACACATTTTTGTGAGAAATGAGATTCATCAACAAGAGTGTCTTCGTTTCGAACATCTCAGTATAACGCTTCCCAGTTTACAATTATAGAGAAGAGAATCAGTTGGCGTTTAAACAAACCGCGTCATTTACGTTTTCAAGCATTTCTTTGAATATGCGGACATTAAGAACAAAAACAAAGAGACCATTTGTATTTACTGGAATTGGGAAAGGTATATTCCATCAATAATGATATATTCCACAATATCCTGCAGATTTCAAAAATCTTTTAGGGCACACTCTAAGCGTAGATATCACGTGAGTTTTTCATGTTCCACTCTTTGGACACTGTGCATGACAAGTGATACATTTCCAAGAATTCGCAAAAGTCTCTACGTGAATTCTGAGCAACAAAAAATTGGCGATTAGACCTATTTTAAGCCATTTTTAGCAAAGACCATCCAAAATACAGAGAGAGAAGCCATTTTTTTGTTCAATGTAATACTTACTCTCAAAAAACTAATTATAATGTCATTGATATTACACAGGTTGTTTCCTAACTGTGGTAGGTGATTCGTTAGATCGTTTAAAAACATAGTTTTTATGCACATATGTCCGGAGTTGCTTCGTTTCCAAGATACAGGGCGTTGAAGTTTAAAAAAAAAAGTATTTATAAAATACTATACAGCGTGACTAACGGTCGATGGTAGGTTAGACGTTTCTGGAAAACGCAAAGCATGATTTTTCTGAAAATTTCACCTCTCACATTTCCTTACCTGTTCTATCGATCTAAAATATTCTCAGCATTGCGGCGTTGCCACTTCCATCAAAAAGTCCTAGCAACTTTATTTTTTTAAATGAAACACCCCGTATATTAATACATTTTTGGAATCGCTCTGGTATTTTAATACTTTTTTGTTAATAATGTCCTATACCTATCTCTATCGAGATAAAAAATAAATTGTGCTAAATATGGTCCAAAACATAGCCTTAATTGAAATTAAGTACATCAGTACTCTCAATTCATGAAAAGTTGATATTTTGATGATAGTTTGGACAAACTGGAAATATTCAAATAACACCAAGAAATCGACTCCATATCATACAAGGCGTGCTAAAATTACTATTATTTCCATTGTGCATAAAAGTAGTCGAACGTTCATTTTTTCAAATGAAACCCCCTGTATATTACTCGGTAAATTGAAAGATTGTGAAAAATGCTTCAAGATGAATGACAAGATGCTTCAAGATGATGATGACATTGAATTACACAAAAGAAAAAAATTCTTTCGAAACAAATACTTCTATATGAACACTGAATTATACAGAAGATACTTTTCTCTACTCAGTTTGTATTTCAAACATTCGTTGTGGAATAAAAATCAGATATTATTCACGTGAGTTCTACTTTAAATGAATGGTAATAAATTGCACTTACATGGAATACTGTCACCCTCAGTAGTATACACCGATGTTTCGCCTTAAGACACTTGCCCCAAGGTTCTTCAGTACCAAATTGGATAACATTATAGAAAATACACACAGTTCATTCATAAATTACGATTTTTAATGACATCGATGACATCGTAATGTCATTCATTCACCTATTTGATTTAATGTTTATATGAAAGTAGCTGTTTCAGGAAGACTTTCTTTCAGTTTGTGTCTGAAAAATACTTCTTTGCATGATCTACACATCCATGTATAGAGTTACTTATTTTGAAATTGATTACTTCCTTCCTTTCCTTGGAAGATTCCCTCATCCTTTTTTTTTGTACCAATATGGAGTAGTAGAAAGCAAAAAACTTTCTTTCCCAAAAAATGATATATGTTTATGAAACTCCTGTACTAGATATGAATGACTTGAGCAATCGAATAATTGCAGTCGCGTATTTTATCAGGAGGTGGACATTTTTCTCATCTACTTTCAGGTCGAAATTGTTTATTATTTACTTTTGTTTTTTTATGTTGTCCATGGATGATTTTAAGAAGTGAAATTTTTTTTGAAAACGTGAAAGCTTGATATGAAGAAAACCCAAGTTTCGGAAAAGTTGTATTTTGAGTTGTTTAATCTAAAAAGATAAAAAACTGCAAAAGTCAGTGGCGTTCTTTTTTTCTCAATATTGTTGGCTATGATGCCCCTGAGACGCCACTGGACCTAATAATTTCAATCTAGTTCGAGGTTATAAGCGCCTTATTATCTCAAACAGCTGTAGAAAATTTCAACCAAATCGGTGTAAGGATATTTATGATCTATACTATTATTATAAATGTGAAAGATTGTGATGATGGATGAATGTATGTACATTTACAATTTACAAAGGTTTTTTGTAATTTTGGCTATGATATAATGATAAGTATTAAGTAAGTAGGAAAAGTATTGCTCCATGAGAGCTATTTTGGCGTGAGCTGCCTATACCGTTGGAGTTGCATGCAGATAATGTACCGTGAAATTGTTGATCTTAAAAAGGTCAGAATAAAAGTCCGCAAGAGCATATAAATACATCTTATTCTTATGAAGATTAATACAATTGTGGTTTTAAGTAGGTATTTAATATAGATAAAGTTTATTATTGTATAGTTGTATTAGTTTCGAATTCAACACCCTGTATCTCATAAAAGAAGCAACTCCGGACATACGTTCATAGGAACTTCTTTCTCAAAACAACCTAACGAATCACCCTCTGAAGTTTCGTGCCGTAGTTAGGAAATACCCTGTATTTTTAAATATTTTTTGTCAAGTATAACGAGAGAGACGTGCTGTGGATATCATGAATATATAATCTTCTGAGTAAAAAAGGTGTCGGCTTTCTACTTCCTCATCTTCATGTAAAAAATGTGGAAACCTTCGAATTCAAAGTTCACATAAAAAAAGTTTCGAAAGTATTTTTTCTTTCGTGTAATTCAACGTTTATAAGAAAGTAGCTGTTTCGCGAGGGCTTTTCTTCTAGATTGTGTCTTGAAGTTACTTCTTTGCATCCTTGAATAGAGTTACTTTTTTAAATTGATTGCTTCCTTTCTTTAGAAGATTTTCCAAATTTTTTTGTATAAAGATGGAGAACTAGGAAACCAAAACCTTTCTCCAAAAATAATCTCTGCTATATACCCCTTCCAATATAATCCTACTAAATGATTTCTCTGATTTTCATTAAGTGAAAATGTATAGGAAACTTTTCCAATTTATCTGGAAAGTGCGATATTCAACCCTATTACTATTCTATTCATAATGGAGGACTTAATTTTATTAAAACTAAATTTACAGAACTTCACATAACTTCAATTCATCCTTTTTATGGAGTCAAGTTAGTTTAAATATGTTCCTGAAGGTAATGACAGTGAATATATCGATCTGTTGTTTTTAGGAATTATGAAGATACTAACATTCTACCTAGCAATGCTAGGTTCCACCTTAGCAGTGCCAAATGGATATTACCATCAGGAATACAACTACAAAACATCATCTTCATCTTTCAAGAATAACGAGTTACAACACAAAACAGACGATCAAGGTAGGATTTTGTTTCTCTGCTAAATTATTCTGTTCAAAATCACCACAAAACATTTATAACTATCATCATTATTTTGGTTTGATGCTGTTACATTTCTACTTTAAAAACGTGAAATACTTGTGGGTTATGATAATTTAATTTAGGCTTTCGCGGCCGAGATTATCATTGCTACGATCTTCATTCGGGTTCGAAGGCCATCGTGATTTGGAACTGTATCCTATCATTTCGCCAGCACCAGTGGCTGGCTTCTTCAGAGGTTTATTCATCTTGATGGGTCATCGGTAAACCATGTGGATCCTAGATCCAAATTTGTGTAAATATGTTTTGATGACAATAAATTAGATTAATCCGAAAGTAAATACTCATTCAATACTCACAAACGATATTACGATGGCGACTATTTAAATTTCGGGGACTGGCAACACCATAATAAAAAAATATGGAACCTTCGAAAGGCAAACTGGGAAAAATATACAAACAATTTTGAACAAACAGAAGGAGAGGAGATGAATTACCAAGAGCTGATAAACGAAATGAATGAAGCCGCAGAAAAATCTATACCCAAATACTCCGACGAAGATAAATCAGAAAGAAAACTGGTAAAATCTGGTGGAATGATGAATGTGATAGGGCATGTAAGAAAAGGAAAGAACTGTATATCAAATACAGAGATGAACCGTGTATTGAAAATCTCAGTAACTACAAAAATCAAGATGCGGTGGTGAAAAAAATAACAAATAAAGTGAAACGAGACAGTTGGAAACATTTTTGTTGGAAACATATGAAACATATGAAAGAAATATGGAACAAAGTTAATAGGTTCAAAAACCGTAAACAAAGTAATAGAAATCCAATAGTCGAAGAAGGGTGAATAGAAGACTTTCATAACAAAATTGCACCAGCCTGGGTGAATCCCTTGATAGAATTTGATGAAAGCCATATAAACAACGAAATACAGAAACCATTCACTCTCATGGAACTCAATATAGCTCTTCGTCAACATAACAATACAGCTCCAGGAAAGGATAACATTCATTACTCCATGATTGCGGAACTGCCAATTGAAATGGAACAGAAATTACTATCTAGTTTTAATAGAATATGGAGTGGGCAAATAGAAATCCCTCAGGAATGACACGAGTATATAGTAGTACCTATACTCAAACCAATAAAACCCGAGAATCAAGTCGACTCTTATAGACCAATCACTCTTGCTTCATGCGTCATGAAAACATATGAAAGACTTATAAAAAACAGAATTGAAAGGTGGTTAGAATCGAACAAACTCATTCCGCATATTCAATATGGCTTCAGGGAAAAAAAGATGTACTCATGAAGCAGTTGCAAATCTGATAATAGACGCAAACTTAGCATTTACCAAAGGAAACTCCATATCAGCATTATTTTTAGATATACAAGGGGCATACGATAATGTGAATATGGATATTTTAAAAGGCAAGATGGAACAAATGGATTTTCCTCACATTATTACAAAAAATATATTGAACCTCTATCTAGACAGAAAAATTAGGTCCTCGCTATACTCAAGTAGGATTGCCACAAGGCAGCATTTTGAGCCCTTTACTATTCATCATATACACTGCAGATATAAACCATTCTCTGTCATGTCAATCCAACTCATTCATTTGCGGACGACTTCTGTTTCTACAGCGATGGAAAAAATATAGAACAATCTTTACAGGAACTCGACTCAAACAGAATATAGTTGGGGAATAATTAAAGATCTTGGAATGCAAGTTTCACATGAAAAATCAGCAGCGTGCTCCTTTTCCTAAAGCCGTTTTCAACAAGATCCAACAGTATCAATAGGACCATACATTTTACCATACAAAAGTTCAATAAGACATTTAGGAATTGTAATAGATAAGAAATTGAGTTGGAAACAACATATACTAACAATTACAGTAAGAGCTGAAAAAAGTTTGAACATTATAAAAGCATTTTGTAAAAATAAATGGGACGCTGATCCGAATACTGCTTTAACATTTTATAAAACCCTGATAAAGCCCATTTTGGATTACGGGAGTATTTTTTACGGTGATGCATCAAAAACTAATTTGAAAAAAGTTGAGAACATAAAAAATAGAAGCCTGAGATTATGCTTAGGATTACTCAACAGCACACCCATCTCAGCCCTTGAATCGGAAGCAGTAGAACCACCACTAAATCTGCGTTTTGGGACTGACCAATAAATATTGGCGTAAGAAAGTTATGCCACTTATATGCAATAGTTATACCAAGGCTTCTAGTTTTGCAGATATAATATAATCCAATGAAATACTTCCCTTATTCAAGGGCAAACCACAAGATTACAATTATTCCATACGTACAAACTACCTCACTTCAAGGGAACTACCTCACTCAACAATCCAAAATATCTTCAAAGAACGAATGTCCAAAAAATGGGATAATAGAGAATATATCTATACAGATGGCTCAATAATAGATGATAAATGTACTTGTGCATTTTACCATTCCAATAATAAATATTCAGAAACTTTTAGACTATCTGATAAGGCATCGATATATACTTTGGAAATCGTAGCTATTCAAAAAGCCCTTGAATATATTAAAGGAAATGATAAAACGAATTTCATGATATTTACAGATAGCAAAAGTGCTGTAGATAAATTCAGAAATTTACAAATAGACAGCAATCTTTCACACATTCTTTTGAATATAATTGGTTTGAATGAAGAAATTCTAGAAAGTAACAAAACTCTAGAAATTGTATGGATTAAGGGTCGTGAAGGAATTGAGGGAAATGAAATTGTGGATAAAATGGCGAAGAAAGCAGGTGGTAACAATATTTCTAATATCAAAATACCATACACGGATCTAACGAAAGTGTTTAGGGAAGAAATGTTATATCACTGGCAGGAATTATACTCTGGATCAACTTCTGGTCAGAGATATAGAATAATTCAGGAGAATACGCAAAAGTCTTCCTGGTACAGATATGAAATTAACAGAAACTTTATCAGATCAATCTGCAGAATGCGAACTAGACACGAAATGTACCCAGAATATAAATTCAGAATAGGATTAGCCGAAAATCCAAATTGCTCAAGTGGAAAAATTGGTACGTTAGATCATATAATTCTAGAATGTATCGAAAATAAAGAACATATTGATAACCTATACGAAATACTGAAAAGTGAAAGTATGATATTCCCAATAAGATTTAATTTAGAATTATAATTTTACTTTTCAGTGAGTATGTATTCTTTGTATTTTGTAGAATAAAACTAACAGGACTACCAGCTAGCTTATAAGTCGCGTTCTGTCACGTCCCAAACGAATGTAAATCCATTCGTATATTGTAAGATGAGGATAAGAAAAACAGAAAGAAGGAAAAAAAAGAATGGAAAAAATAAAAAAAAAATTAAAAAAAAGGAAAATTGAAACGAGAAGAGAAAAATGTGTACATACATGTGAAATTATTAGATAACTCACATAAAACAAGAAATTAATAAAAAAAGAAAAAAATTTCAGTTAAAAAAAACGAAAATGAAAACAAATATTGAAAAATGAATGAAATAGTAAGAGAAAAATAAAAAATAGAAAAGAAAAAGAAACACAACTCATTAGTACTATTTAAATACTAACCTTTAGAAATAAATAAGAATGTATTATAAATCTATAAAATATCAAAATATTGTAAAAATTTAACATGTTAAAATAGACTGGCAAATTGGTTATACCAACGCCATTTGAACTCATCACACACACACACACTTTGACATTTTTTAGCATAAACATACTCACAACGTTTTGATGTATAGTCGAAGTAAACGGTATTGTGCATACTTAAAGCTGGCGGCACTCTCAAAACCCAAAAAAATCAATACATAATTAATTAATATTTTTGTTATCTGTCTAAAATGTGGTGTCCTTGGACAAGTACTAACAGTAATAACGAGTGTGATAACAACGCAGACTTTTTCCAGCGTAGTGATTCCAATAGCAATGGTGAACAATGCGAAAAAAGGTACCAGTGAATAAGATTCGGATGGATTTGAATATTAAAACACAGAGAGTATATTTCAATGTATATAAGAACATACATCTCAAGTTTGGTTTCGAGAGAAACAAATTATTACAAGCAACATCAGATTTGACCGAAATTCCTTTCTCAATTGTACGTAAAATAGTCATAAACAAACCTTATGAACGCAAGACTTGATGTGATACAGGATTATCAAAACCTTTAGATGTTCATTTAATAAAGTCATTGAAAAAAGTAATATACGATTGTTACAAAAGCAATGAGATTCCTATAACTGAAATCATAAGAAAGAAATTGAATTCTTCCGGCCATAACGTGAGCTGCTGTGACAAAATTCTTCTGAATTGAATAAAGAAACTAGGGTTTTGATTTAAAATAATAAACAGACGTCATGCAGTTTTAGAAAGTCGAAGAATAGTTGAATTGCCTAACGAATATTTAGAACAAATAACTAAATATAGACACGAACAACGGAAAATTTTCTATTTGGACGAATCTTGGTATGACACAACACAGTTACGAAAGGATGGATTGATGGTTCGAGAATGTGTACGCCTAACATGCTGCAAACAAAGGATCGCATGCATTGCGGAGGAAGTAAAGGATGGGTTCCGAATTCTTTGAAATTATGTGGAAAAAAACTTGAAAACTGCAATGTTGACTGACTATCGTGAGAACATGGAAGCTAATATTTTCAAGGAATGGTTTGAAAACACATCAATCCCAAATTTGGATGCGAATAGTGTAATAGTTATTGACAACGCTTTTTATCATTCGCGACAGCTTATCAAAGTACCGAATAAAAATTCGAGGAAAGATGAAACACCAAGTTTCTTAACTACTTGAAGTTTTACAGATAAAAACATTTGAAGTAGTGTATGCCCTTGAGAGTATTGCTGAAAAGTATGCACACACCATACTGAGACTTCCCCCTATTTTTGTGTTTCCAATCCCATCGAGTTGATTTGGGGAAAATTGAAACAAAGCATCAGGCGTAATTTTTTTCCAAAATTTGATAAGAAGGTAATAGAGCCAATTAAAGAAAAAAAAATTGAAACTTTTTATGTTTTTACCATTTTTATTTGTAACTAACGTTACTGCACTTTCGTCCTATAAGGACAGTTTCAATTTTTTTATATTTTTTATTTTTATGTTTATTTTTTATTTTTTTGTAATTTTTATCATACTCCTTTATACATTGACATGTTCCACACCCGTGAGGGTCTTTGTACCAAAGAACTAATAAAGATAATCTATCTATCTATCTATCTATCTATGAATGAAGAATATTGAAAACATGTTGCTGAATGGTATTTTATTGATTTTTTGAATTCATCATTTGTTCAATTATATTTCATTATTCAACAATTATTTTAAATGTATTAATTATGTAAAAATATTCAATTATTTATTTCATGAGTCACAATTTTTTTAAGGGGAATTCTTAGTAGTTGTGGAGATTTTAGGGGTTTTTGATTGGGGCTTCAGGGAGATGAATTTTTGACAGTTGGGAACACTGCGTTAAACCAAATGTTCGAGACTATCTCGAACTGTTTGGGATTTTTTTGCTTCTACGCATCATGTCCTGCGCAGTTTCCAAACATTTTCGGATGTTGAAACCAGAACAAACCTATTGTGTTAAATTTGAATATTTCCAAAGGTTACTACCGGAAAGATGGAGATCTAGAAGGCCGCGTGAAACCTGTAGTCGACGCCAATAGCGAGCATTCAGAGTATGTGAATCCAAATGCGCAAGGTACATATGGATATAATGGAGGAGCTAACACCGATTTTTCTTCTACCGGGAATATGAGGGCTCAAAGCGGATATACTGGTTATGGATCAAATGCCCTGGATGCTGAAGGCTACGCGCAGTCTGATCGTTTGATCGGCAGCAGGGGTTACTCTTCTGGGTACTCGTCAGGTTAGTAGTAAATGTTTTCTGTTAACTTTTATAAGATACGTTAACTTTTGCCATAACAAGTTATTTCATCAAAACTAAGAATATACCCCTATTAATTTGAACAAGATCCCTATAACTGGTATTTATTCAAATAGGAGGATGGATGTCATTACGTACTGTTACCGATGACATAAGTAGATTCAACTCATTTGTGACATAAAGTCGTCATTTTACGAATCAACTGAGTGCTTCATCTAGTAATGTTCATCCAAATTGGTGCTGAAGAGCCAAAAGGCAAGTGTTTTATTCCGAAACATCAAATGTCCACCAGTGAGGTTGACAGTATTCCATCAAAAATAGGAAAAAGGGTGAAATTTTTACGGCCTGCGCATAACGAAGAACAAAGTTGCGCATATTCGCGATTAAAGTTGTCTCTGCTTAGTGCAGATGTACAGTCTCCTGAATAAACTGTGAAACCAACATACAAAGTCCCCACTAGTAGTCCACCTCATTATCGAATTCAAAATAATTTTTATTATTATTTAGTTTAGTATTAGAGTAATATTCTTTTGAGTTAGAAAATTATGAATAACGATTATGCCATTAATCAGAAAAATGTTTGGAATAAATAAATAAAACTTGCTCTCAATTAGAATGTTGCTTTCATTTTACTTTCAAATATTGTACATTTTTTATACTTAAATTAAACGCAAAATACGGCGAAAAATTTCTAAGAACGTAACAATTACAAATGAAACAATACAAAGCAAAAAATTATAAGAGGCCAAAAAAAATATTTTATCTCAATCTTCGGAGGATGAATCTTCGCCAAGGTCTGAACAGATGTAATCTGATTCAGTGCCACTATCTTCTTGCAAGTTGATTATCATGTGTTCTACCATGTAATCTAATGTTAGTCCCTTTCCCATAAAAAACTGTTCAAAACTTTGAGCATGCTCACATCGTTTTTTCCACTCAGTTTCAGAAAACGTACTAAAAAATTCATCGCGTAATCTATCCACGGTCTTTAAGCTAAAATCTATATTTCTTTATGCAGCATATTGCTTTCAAGACGCCCACACTAACTCTATAGGATTCAAGTCCGGGTGATATGAAGGAAGCCTTAGAACGGTATGCCCGTAGGCGCTCATAATTTCATATTTTATATCGCGGTTTATGAATTTTAATTAGACTATACAAATCAATTTTTAATATATCTTCTGTAAAAGGTATATTTCGTTGCCTTAGCCATTCCATCCTGTAGCCATTTTGTATAATTCGTGAAGTTCATCTCGTTATGATAATCACCTGACTTGATTGATCTAAATTTCAAATAAACATTTTTCTCAAAACTATTTTCACTGCCCGCATTCACTATTACTGGTCTTTGTCCTTTTGATAATCGTTTATGAAAACCTTCACTAGTGTTGTCATTCCAGGGTTTTATGTGAGTATGCGAGGAATGAATATAGGTTTCGTCCATGGAAATTATGGGTCGCCTTTCTTCTCGAAATTCTTTCATACTTCGCAAAAAATTTGTTCTTAACTTAACGATATCTGGCTTTTCCATTAATAATTTTGGATTATTTTTCGTTTTCTTACAACGAAATCCCATGTCATGCATAACTTTTCTCAAGCTTTCGTAAGAACCAGCATACTTATTTTCGGATTTAAATTTATGATGTATGCGCCGAAGAGTTGAAACTTTTTTATCGACAGTATAATAATTGATAATAAATCTTCGAAGCAATCCTTTATCAAAACCATCTAAGATAGTTTTAGCAGCAGCTTTCTTTCTTTTTGTATTTGGTGTCAAAAAAGCAGTGGCTTCTCCATTCTCAATCGATTTAATTTTCTTTGAAATTTTTTTATACTGCTTAAATTTACGCCAGTTGCCATAGCAGCAGCTATTTCTTGAACTTTTTTAAAGTCTTTCTTATTAGTCAGTGGGCTATGCTTGAAAACTGTCGGTCAACAAATCTTAAGCAGAACTTTAAACGTTCAGGCCATTCTCTATATACCTACACAGTAGGTTTAATGGACTGACGTCTATCAGAAAACCACCTACTCCCCTGGCTAATTTCCTGCATATGCAATTGCAAAATACAACTGAAAGAGTCGACCTTAAATTTTGGAAAGGGCACACTTGCAGACCGGTTTCGGGCTCATTAGCCACTCGTCAGTGCAAGATAGTGACCATTATCGACCTAAAGTCAGTGATATTCCAGAATTGAAAATCGGAATTCTTTCAGAGAATTTCATTCCTCTTCCGAAGTTGGAGCGAACATCACAAAATGTCACTCCATCTAGTGGACGAGGTACTAACCAACTGCATATCCGTAGTTTGCCCGATTCCTCTGAATAAGGAAGAAAAACTTTCTTATTAGTCAGTGGGCTATGCTTCAAGACTGGCAGTCAACAAATCTTAAGTAGAACTTAAAACGTTCAGGCCAGTCTCTATACACCTACACAGTAGGTTTAATGGCCTGACGCCTGTCAGAAAACCAACTACTCCCCTGGCTAATACCACGAAGGACGTTGGATTATATCCGACAGGCGCCAGTGCAGGAATCTTCACTTTAGGTCGATGATGGTCACTATCTTGTACTGACGAGTGGCTAATGAGCCCGAAAACGGTCTGCAAGTGTGCCCGTTCCAAAATTGAGGGTCGACTCTTTCAGTTGTATTGCCAATTGCATATGCAGGACATTTTCTGTGAAGATTCCTGCACTGACGCCTGTCGGATATAATCCAACGCCCTTCGTGGTATTATCCAGGGGAGTAGTTGTTTTCTGATAGGTGTCAGTCCATTAAACCTACTGTGTAGGTATATAGAGACTGGCCTGAACGTTTAAAGTTCTGCTTTAGATTTTTTAAAGTCCGTTATAGGTTTATTTTCTGCCGCTTCTCATGGCATAAAAAAAAATTACATTGGCTATAACTTCTCTCGTTTGGCTTGTCAGCACTTTACGATTTAGGTTTGATTTAAAGCCATCCTGGTTAAGTTACAATACTCGAATTGTATCCTTTATGCTTTATTTCTGCTCGCACTATACACTCGGTTAACCCGCGATGCTCACTTCACAACAGACATATTCGACTGACTAGGCTGTGGGAGTTTCCACTCCTGTCTTCTGCGCACAGCTTAGGCGGTCTCAAATTAAGATTTTGAAACTTTTTCCTATTCTTGACGAACTGTAAGTGAAATTTCACCTCTTTCATTCATAAATGTAGAAAAGTGTTTTTTGTATACCTAATTCAGTGTTCACATAAAAGAAGATGTTTCGAAAATATTTTTCTTTCGTATAACTCAATGTTCATATGACAGTAGTTGTTTCGCCAGCCCATTTTTTTCCAATTTGTGTCTGAAAGTTACTTCTTTGCATGATTCACACCCCTTTCAATTTAAATCCTTTATATAAATCATGAGGGATGTAAATAGGGAGTTGGATGATAACTCATCAATGACATTCAGAAAAAATCGCTGGAAAACGAAAAGAAGATCTTTTGCGCTCATCTTTACCTTGTCTCTTCCACCTCCTTATCAGAGTGAAATCCACCCCTGAAATTTTAAAAGGGATCAAACAAAAACGTTATTGAAAAATCTGGAAATAAACTAACGTAAAGCTAGCCCGACTTCAAGTAAGGAATTACCATACTGGCCTATTCACAATTTAGTATTACCTACTCTGGAATTTCATCCTTCTTGAAAAGTATTTAGAAATCCATTTATCTACATTTAATGTCTCATAGATTTCTACCGTGACTATCTCGTGTTATTACTTGGTTTATTCAACTACAATTTTTCTCAACTCATTACCTAACCTAGGAACTTTCAAAATCATCAATAATGTACAAATTCTTGAAAGGGAATGGAAGACATGGATATTTCTTTAAAACTTTTTCATTATGTGGCCCTTCATAATGACCCTCCATTTTTACGATTCTATCACCAACCCCTATTTTTTATTAAGGTAATTCAATCATTATTATTGCCGTCAGGTATCTACCAGTGTCACTTCTCACTCGGTAAACAGCTCGTAGTTGGGATGAGAACGAAGCAAGGATCCTGTCTACTGGCCATCTCTCACTCCCTGCACAGTTTTTGACCACTATTATTGTTCATCTATCCATCTATCCAGAGACCAAGCCCGGTACTGATGATGGGGATAGCTCCGTGATTTGAATCCACCACGGCTGTGCAACCGCACACGATTAGTCATTGAAAAATTAATGAAAAACGTTGTCGAAGCCAGTATTTTGAATGGCAAGTTCCGAAGTGAAAATATATCAATACAACGAATCCCTATTATACCTACAGATGAGCCATTTCAATTCAAACATATGAAATTTCCAATTAGATTGGCATTTGCAATGGCTATTAATAAGTCCCAAGGCCAAACAATGTCCGTTTGTGGGTTGGATTTGAGCACACCATGTTTTTTTACACGGACAATTATACGTGGCATGATCTCAAGTGGGCAAATCATCCAGTTTGTTTGTGTTACTAACGGGATAAGGGGTTAATTTTATTTGTAAGTGTTATTTTCTGGCACACACTTACAATGTGTTAGTTAACATTTTCTATTCTAGAAATGATTAAAATGGTAAACAACGTTTGCTGGCTAATAATAATATATAATAAAAATTGGAAATATTCAAATGAATTATTATTTGAAGAAAGTAAAAATATTAGCATAAATCGGTTACATATTTATTATATTTTTGAAAATGCAAAGAAATGTTACCTCTAATGATCATGACAATAATACTCATGTACCAAAATTCGATAAAACACACTCAAAAACTAAAATGTAATGCAGAATGTAATGAACTGTGGAATACGAAAAAGAACTATGGATGCTAGCGAAGTACATGGTCAAAATATTCACCGCGAACGTCTTGGCAACATCCTAATCTCAAATAAAACTGTTTTCTAACAGTTTTTAACAAGTCGTTCAAATCTGAAGTTTAGTTATGTACACATTGCTCTTTACATATCCCCACAAAAAGAAATCTAATGATGAAAGATCAGGTGATCGCGCTGGCAATTCAATCCCCATCCACCAATTGGGAAATGTTGTATTGAGGTATTGCCTGACATTACCTTGGTAATGTGGTGGTGCCCCATCCTGCTGAAACTATATCGTATTCACTGGAACTTGAGGGTTTCCTGGATCAGGATATAAATTTGCTAAACTTGGAATGACATAATTTTGAAGTAGTGCCAAACAATTATCGCCATTCAAGTTGCCCTCAATGAAAAAGGGGCAAAAGATATTGTTTCCTACAATCCCTGCCCAAACATTAACCTTTTGAGGCTTTTGCGTGTGCTCTCTCACCCAGTGAGGGGGTTTTCTGTTGACCAGTAGCGGCAATTTTACCGATTACCATGACCGTTAAGAGACAAAGAAATTGGATGATATTATTATCCAACATGTCCATCATATGCTCACCAAAATGGGTTCTTCTATCAAAATCATCTTCCATCCGCTCCTGAGTAGGTATCATTTCATAGGGTTGCATTATATTTTCTTTTAATATGTTTACTATCGATGTATGGCTAACATTGAATGTAGCCATACATCGATAACATTGAATCTAACTATTTGTCAGACTTGAAGTTAACGAACTTAAATTAAAATATTGACAACTAATGTTGTAACATACAAAACAAGTTGACAAGGCGTTTTAAACTAACGTTGCCACGGAAATTATTTACGGGTTTTCAAATGATATCATTTAAAAATAACATTGCTATGGTATTTGCTTACTTTACTATCAATACCTCGATTGATGCAATGAACTTGAAAGCGATAACATTTTTGAATGGAGAATGAAGAGACCTTACAAACGATATATCACAAGCCTATATTTCCCATTTAAAAAACTGAGGCTTGTACCTGTTATTCGACGGGGGCTGAAGGTAGGGGTAGCATTTTTCCGTTGAAGTATGTCAAATTATAATTCAAATTTGACGTGTTTCGGGATTTTGTTAAAATATGTACCGTAACCGAAATAATGAATTTATTCAATTGGCTTTTACACACTGTATGTATAAAAATTATAAAATACCTGCATAAATTCGAGGATATTTGCAAATGTTCATAAGTCAAAGTTATTTTAACTTAACCTCACAAAACTTTATGTTCATACGAGTCAAACCTTAGTTAATTCACAACATTGTATACTTAGAAAATGCTATATTCATCCATGAGTTGACTTATATTATTATTAATTAGTTTGCTTTACTTTATGTATGTATGTACTTTATGTTTGCTTTATGTACTACTATTCCTGACATGACAATTTTATCACTTTGCATAACTTTTCGACGGGTATATCACAGACTTCATAATTTTTGCAGGTTATGGCTCCAACAGCATTGGATCAAACTCTCAGTCTTATGGTACCTCATCCAACCTACGGCTGATCACTTCCCGCCTCCAACAAGAATTAGAAAGTGAGTTACATGAAGCTGTACGTCAAAACAACATCTACCCTCAGTCAAGAGTAGACATTTCTCAACTGGAAAGAGAACTCAGGCGCAACTTAACGGAGAGACTTAACAACGAGTTAAATGCTCGATATGGTCAGCAAATGGTGAGGGGTGGCATGTCATACACAATAACTGGTGGGCGTTTACAGTCAACTGCGAACTATGATAACGAAGAACTGAGTAACCTCAGAAGACAGTTAGAAAATAGCTTAGTGAACCAGTTGAGGACTCAATATAGTTCATCCAGCTCATCCAACAGTCAGTATTACAACCGACAAGGTAGCTATGGCTATACAACAGTCCGTCCAGTCTATTCCTCAGTTTACCCTTCATTACCGACTTATACTACTACCCTGAGATATCCGGTCGACTACAACCATGCCAACTATCAAACGATTCGTTACACTCCCATAACGAACCCACAAAGCATCACCAACATCGCTTCAAATATCCAAAGTCGGCTTGATTCGCGTTTGAATGAAGTATTGGACGAAACACGTAGGAAATATTTCTCCACAAATTCGCAGTATTCTCTAACAAATACTGACGTACTGCTTGAAAGAATTCGTAACGAACTCAGGAGTAACCTTACTTATCTTCTTGATGAAGATATTAGAAGGAATTATGGAACTCAGATACAAAGAGATGGTTATTTATATTCAGTAGGTCCTACTGGTCAGACATCAACGGATTATAATTATTCTTTGAGGGATTTAGAAAATTTGAAGCAGCAAGTGGAGAGAAATCTGATAGACAAATTGAACCGGGATTTTGAAACTTACAGATCAAGGTATGTGACGAACTAGATACACCTTTATCAATTCACAGGTCAAGAAAAAAATTTTTGAGTAGACTTTTTGAACAAATTTACCTAAATTTTAGGCATTTTTGTATGCTGAAACCGTATTTCATAGCAGTTTTTTATCACCCATCGTTCTTTGACAATATGATATCGATTTATCATTTTAAAAAACTGGGAGAATTTGATATACACAAATTTAGCAATTAAATGATATAGATATGGCAATAAAATACTTTATCTAATTTCCACTTATTGTATTGATATTAATACGACCAAGGTTTCGGTTTTTATACCATTCTTAAGTATTCTAACACTACTGACCTAAGAGAAATATCGGAGAGTATATATCCGAGAGTAGGTAATAAGATATATATAGTATTTCTAATACCAATTGGAACAGCACAGAGAAGGAATTCCCGCCTCGACTTAGGCGTCGGCATATTACTTCTCAGTGGTAGTTTTTCAGTTACTTATTCTTACAATCATAGCAATTGATCACCCCATGAAAAAGTTATCTCAACTGAATTTGTCCACTATGGGTAATTATGAAAAACTTCGAAATTCAAGATAGTTGATTTCCGAGTCGAAAACTCTAAAATACAATGAAAACACAAATAATCACACCGAATTCTCGTCAAACATATATTTACAAAATAATAGAGGCCAACAAAATTGCTAGAAAAATCAAAATTTTTCTTCGCTATATTCAGATGAGGTGGAATCATCATCGGGTTGAATAACGCTCGGATTTATGGAACTTTGCCCATAATATTTGTTCCTTCTTTCATAACACATCACTATTACCTACCTCATTCACCACTCGCCTTATATTATCAAGCACTACAGCATTCAAAGTCGATGACTGATTACATTTCCGCAAGCTTTCTTTCATTGTGGCCCAAACCATTTCAATTGGATTGAACACACAATATCATGGAGGCAAACGTAACAGAATATGACCACGTGTTTCACACATCTAATCAATAATATATTCTTTTTTGAAATTGTTGTTTTATGGTCGCCAATAATACCTTTTTCGTTGGAATCTTTTTGGGTATTTCCATGTCATGATTTCGCATGAAATCAACAATATCTGCTTTTTTTGTGTTATTGTTTGGTATTGTAGTCAATAACCGAGAATGATACGAAGAATTATCCAGGTTTCGAATAAATCCGCAGTCATATCTTCGTGGTAATCGGCAGATGAATCTTTTATATTTTTGACCCACAGAAGCAAAGCGTTAGGTACGAAACAACTTTCATTCCCGGCATGCAAAATTATAACACGTTTTTCCCTTGAAGAAGGTGTGTTCAAAGCACAATACTTGGTTTCGTCTACCCAGCCATATTTGACAACATCATGGGTGTCAAACCAAGTTTCGTCGAGGTAGATTATATGTCTGCTGTATTCTCGGTAGCTTTTCATTCGCCTCAAATATTCTTGTAGGAGTTGAACAATGCGTGTCAATTCCATTATAACCATCCGATTGTTCAATTTTTTATATTTGAAACCACAAGAGAATAAGACACCTCGTAATTTCTGAAGACTTGTAATTGTAATCAGGATAGTCGAGTATATTATACCAAATCATTTCCAAGGTTGGTACTTCATTTTTTTGGTATATACCATAAATTGTTCGCCGAATCACATCTTTTGTAGCACCATCATCGTTTGCGAATTTTTTATTCCTTTGTTTTCATTTCATTGTATGGTCAATAACATCCCCTATTTTAATGACTCGAAGAACTGTCGAACGAGATAGTTTCGTTAACTCGCATATTCTATTCAAAATAGCATTCTGTGAAGTGTGACAGTTTTCCTTCTTCAAGCATTCATGAATATTTGAAATTACTCGTTGAACTTGAACATGTAAGTCCTTATTTTCAAATTCCGTATCCCTGTCGATTGACATAGATTCCTCACAAGTAATGTTATCATTTGTTTCAAAAGGTCTTCAGAAAGCCATATTGATGAAAGTACCCAAAAACACTAAGATTTTCACAAAAATCGGTTTAAACGATGAGATTGGAACCTTTGGTATAAAAGTTGAAAACTTTTTCTAGAGATAATTACACTAACACCAAACTGATATTTTTGCACTCGACGCACGTTTCGCTAACAAGGTTAGCATCTTCAGGAGAAGCAAACTGATACTGAATCTAAAGACAAGGGTTAGCTGTTTATATACCTAAAATTTTTTGGTCCGATGTGGACTTTGTTTGTTAAATGATGATTATCCTTATTGATTTTTCGGTAATTAACTAGTGGAACCACTACCTGCAAATTAATTTGTCCGCTTTTTAATCTATTGTTGACAAATTGACTTGCAGGTAGTGGTTCCACTAGTTAATTACCGAGAAATCAATTAGGATAATCATCATTTAACAAACAAAGTCCACATCGGACCAAAAAACTTTAGGTATATTGGCTGTATTTGGCTCAATCCTGCCTCTCTCATTATAGTATCTCCAATGTAGCTGTTGGAGTGGTTTTCAATAGTCCCATTGTTTCTCAACATCAAGTCCTTGCACCCTGCTCAGTTTTTCAATAGCGGTCGTTTATTTCTTTGTTCAACAAACTATAGATATATATGGCATCATGGGTTCAACCACCACAGTGTAGAGTCTTGTTCCAGCCTTTCTTTTCAGTCTTTCTAAATGTTTTTCCAGGTCCGGCTGCGATCTAGTATCACTCTTAGGTTTTTGAATTCCCCGACACCTGTATCTCTCCACCTCAAAGTTTCAGAGATGCTAGACCATCTATCTTAGTCCTCTTGGTCTTATATGCAGCCCTTCTTCATCTGAACATCACTCTACTTGGAATCCATGATGGTGCAGAAAACAAAGTAACTCAACAGACTATAGATGGATATGTTATCATGGGTTCAACCACCACAGTGTAGAGTCTTGTTCCACCCTTTCTTTTCAGTCTTTCTAAATGTTTTTCCAGGTCCGGCGGCGATCTAGTATCACTCTTAGGTTTTTGAATTCCTCGACACCTGTATCTCTGCACCTCAAAGTTTCAGAGATGCTAGACCATCTATCCTAGTCCTCTTGGTCTTATATGCAGCCCTTCTTCATCTGAACATCACTCTACTTGGAATCCATGATGGTGCAGAAAGCAAAGTAACTCAAAAGACTATAGATGGATATGTTATCATGGGTTCAACCACCACAGTGTAGAGTCTTGTTCCACCCTTTCTTTTCAGTCTTTTTGTATTCTTTTTCTAGGTCCAGCAGCGATCCAGTATCACTCTGAGGTTTTTGACTTCCCCGACAGCTGTATCTCTGCATCTCAAAGTTTGAGAGATGCTGGACCATCTGTCTTAGTTCTCTTGGTTTTATATGCAGCTCTTCTTCATCTGAATATCACCGTACTTGGAATCTATGAAAACAAAGTAACTCGTATGGGTTTCATCCAACTATTTTTTGGATGAGTGTTTGCGTGACCGCTGACGTAGTACCCTTTGATTCATTTACTATCAGCTCCGACTCATACCAGGGTTCAACTACTGCTTTGACTCTATTTCTAATCCGCATTGATGACTGGTAGAATACAATGTTTCATCTAGATTACATTAGATTAGATCAATATGGGGCTTCTTGTGGTTTTTGCTCCCCTAATGTTACAAACCTTATCCTTGACAGACCTTCGCAATAGCATAGTATGTGTACGGAGCTTTCCTCATCCTCTTGGCAAAGCCTGCATAGGGCTGTGTCTACCAGTCCGATGTTGTTCATATGTTTGTTGAGTCTACAGTGTCCCGTGAATAGCCCGACCAGAACTCTAGTTGATCGCCTATTCAGACTTAGTAGGTACTCCGTGAATTTTGACGATGTCTTATCTAATATACAGATAGTTCTACGAACGATAAAACTCATTCAAAGCTGCTCCATCGATGATTCTTAACGAAGACAAGCAACACCTTCAGATAACTCTGTACAAACTTATATTTTTGTGTTCGATCAGGTGATTTGTGGAACTCCTTGTCAGAAGAGGATTTACCACGTCTAAGAAAAACTGGAATTTATATTTCATGTCCCATTTTTTACTTTCAGTTCTCATAAAACAATATCGCCTAGGTCCTCTCTCGGCTTGACCAATAGTTGTACTTTGAAATGAATTATTTAACCTGGAATAGAGTTTAGTGATCGCTTAGGAGGAGCACAAAAGTCCAAGGTTATATAGTTTTTCTTCCAACAGGTTTAGATGACCACAAGGTCACTAAATGTCACAAACATACTTTTTATGATGACTAAATTGTGGCTAATGTCGTATCAATGTCGTATCAAATTAATTAAATACATTTTTTCAGTTGGTCGTCTCACCAATCATATAATAGTCAATCAAGCTTTGGAAGTAACTACCAATACAGCAGCACACCTCGTTACGAATACATCAGCTCACCACGATATGCTTATACCACTCCAAGATACGAAATATTTACAACACCTCGACAATCTTATATAAATCAGTATCCCACTTCCGCCTCCCAACATGGTGGTTACATCCAGACAGGAGGAGGTGCAAGTAATCAATACGAACATGTCTCCGGATCACAACAATCAGGTTACGGAATGCAAAGCAGCGGTAGTATAGCCCAACTACAGAGACAGTTACAGGATGACCTTTCCAGTCAACTACGTGGAGCCCTCAGGACAGGTCACTACAGTTCTTATTCATCTGGCGGTATAAGTAGCCCTCAGAATTACCAAACCACTCTTCAACAATTGTCTGATGAGCTGAATAGGAATCTTACAAGGCATCTTCAAGAATATAGTGCAATGGGTTCTTATGCTGCTTACGGAAACTTCGACAGTGCACAAATGCAAAGACTTAAAGCACAATTACAAGATTCCTTGATGAATCAACTCCAGCAAGGTTTACAGCAATCCTACCAAAGCTCAAGTTCATACAGTTCGAGTAGCAGCAGCAGCAGCAGCAGTAGTGGTAATTCTAACTACCGACCAGTAAGAGGATTCCAGAACTATCAGTCAGGCCAATACAGGTAAAAAATGGTTTTCATGTTTCAATTGTATATTTTTTGTTGCAATGTCAGTGATACGGTACGGACTTCCATTGTGTGATATGACATAATATAATATGATTTGAATATTACTGGAGATTAATCCCAACACCAAACCGTTATTTTTAACACCTCGACACGTGTTTCGATCACCAAGTAATCATCTTCAAGAGAAAAATTAATCTTTTGGTGATTGAAACACGTGTCGATGTGTTAAAAACAACGATTTGGTGTTGGGATTAAACTACAGTTATATTCATTGCTACACCAAAGGTTCCAAACAGTGCATCACAAGTATATAATATGATTTGAAATACAATAAATGAAATAAATACAATAAATAATACAATAAATGAAATACAATAAAATGAAAATAAGCAAAAAATTGAAAAATTGAACAATCAGAAATGAAATAAAATTAAAACGATTTCAAACCAAATAACTTCACGACGTTTCGATTGTTAGTATCCATAATCTTCTTAGGATGATGACTGGACTTTTCTCCCCTTCCCCCTTGGGGTTGAGTGCCCTGAGATAGAATCTTCCCCACATGATTACTGTGTGCAAAAACTAAAATCTCATCCTTCTACCTCCACTCATTCTTGAGTGATTATGTTAGGTTTGGTCCAAAATGAGTGGGTCTATTCGACCCTCCACCGCAACCCACAAGGATTTAGTGTGACTCACACCTATTTACACACGATCAGATACACCCAGCTTCTTAACGAAGCCGATTAGTTTGTATGGTGAGTGGTCTTTCAGACCAGATGATAAAACTACGGCTCTGCCGAACTCTAAAAATCTGATTCGGTTTCCAGTGGGGCAGGCACAAAGTATGCGCTCTGCAGTTTCATCATTTTCCAAACAGAGGCGACACACACTGTCTTCCGAGTCTCTGTATATGATATGTAGCTGTAGAGTAGGGAGGGTGAGTGTAAGCCCACGCACTTAGGCCACGTGTGACCCATTGTACATCCTCCCGAGGAGTTGTCCTCCTAGGTCGTCGTCCATCCTGTCCTTTCCAGGAAGGTGGACAGGTCGCTGGGAGACATCTCCTTTATATCGGCAGGTGTAGGCCAAGACTCGCCGAACACACACTCTCTTATTGACGATAACTCCGGGCACTCGCACAGGACATGCCTGACAGTCTCATCTTCCTGCATCGAGGTGTGTCCACTAGCCCCATATTATGTAGGTGTTTCCTTAGCTGACAGGGGCCAGTCAGAAATCCTACTGTAAGGCGTAGATTTTTCCTGGTCATCGCCAGATATTTATTCGGTGCCAGCTTCCCAGGGTCGCCCAAGGTGATCCTGGCAAGATTACATCCTTTGATTTCATCCCATCTCTTTAGAGATTGAGCATGGGTGTAACTTTTGACTAGTTCCGCAATTGTCGAAGTCATCAGGCCGTGGGTGCCACTGGATCATAAAATTCTTAGTCCAGCCGCTTCCTTGGCTAAAGAGTCGGCAATGCGATTACCCTTACTCCTGTCGTGCCCTTTAACCCACCTCAGGATAATGTTATTATCTACCGAGGCTTTGGCTAAATCTTGGTGGCACTCTAGTGCTAGCCCTGAAGTAACACGGTGTCTGTTCAAGGCTAATAGTGCTTGTCTGCTATCAGTGCAGATTGTTATGTTTTTGCCAGAAATTCTTTTCTTGATTATTTCTTTTGTGGCGATTGAGATAACAGCCAGTTCTGTTTGGACCACGCTGGTATTTCTTCACATTTCCCACTTAATCCTTAGGCTTAGTGATCTGGAGTACACTCCACATCCTGAGCCTTCTTTGGTTTTTGAGCCATCTGTATCTGTATATGATGATTCAAGTGACAGTGTAAGAAGGCATGTTAAGACTTTGTAGTTCATCCTTACTGTAGTAAAACAACTGTTTGGTATCAAGCTGCGAAGGGTGAATAAACGCCTTGGAGTGAGCCAATCCTGGAAGATTCTGCCAGAAGTCCATAAATCTTCTTGCCATTCAGGTGTTCAATCTTTATTTGGCAAAGTCTGAAGCGATGCCAGTGACAGGTTCTGGTCCGATTAAGATGCTTGCAGCAGCCTCTTCTGCAAGCTAGTCAACAGCGTCATTGCCTTCCAGGTCAGTATGGCCAGGAATCCAGACCAGAGACAATCTGTCAAGTCTTCTTATCGAGGAGAGTCGTTTTTGGCAATTTGCCATCAACTTAAATGTTGCTCGGAACCTCAACATGCTGATGGGCACTTCAGCAAGATTGACGTCTGGCCTCCTGCGGTCAAAAGTCAGCCTTTAGGTGCGTTTACTCTTGTTTGTCTTGATTTTACTGAATGTATTGTTTGCATGGTGGTCCCCTTAACCTAACAGGAGACAAGCTTCTATTGATCGCGAACTAAGTATGTGTGTGTATCTGTAAGAAAGTGTGTGTCAGTAATCTGTTTATAAAGTGTTTATACCTACCGGAGCCTCCTGACAGCGACTCTTGGAGGTGGTCGTTGGTTCTGCTTCGTGGGCCTCAATGGCTATTCCTTAGAGAGATATCTATTTATAGGTCATTCGAAAACCTTTACCTATCCCCTTTACCCTCTCTCCGCTTCACCGGTTTAGTGGAAGTTGACTGTTTTTCCCTTGATCAAAAGTTTCCATATGTTGCATATCTGTATATCAGTTGGACAACATAAGTGCAACGTCTTTGAACTTTCTCTTGAGCCAGTGTTCCTCCCTGAGGATGATCTCAGCTTGGGACCACTCGATGTTGTGTTGATGGGTCCAAACATGGTCTGCTATTGCTGATTTGCTGGTTTCCCCTCGCTGTGTGTTTCTCCAGTGCTCGACAATGCGGTCTTTCAATAGCCTCTTTGATAGATATGGGATTTGCCGCTCTCACAGGGTATCCGGTAATTGCAATTCTTGGACTCGCACTCCGCGTTTGGTGGCCTGGTTTTCGTGGGGCTGCTACGGATTCCGGATCTGAAACAGGTTCTGAAGTTGCACTTGGACCCAATTCTTCTTATGCTTTTCGACAATTCTCTGACGAACGGGAGGGCAAGCACTGGTTGTGACGGCTTCTCTTCTTCGTGAGGCTATTGCTGTCTTCTAACCAACATCTGTTCCACCATCACTTTGGAATAACCATTCCGTTGAAGATCTTTTATGATGATGCCTAATTCCTAATTTTATTTGTTCTTTCAGAGGTTTCAAAGCATATTATATCATTAAATACAATGAAAGCCCGAAGTAGTGAAATTCACTATGAAACATTGTTAACTACCTTCAAACAAACACTTATCAACATCCGAGTTACTATAGATTTACAGCATAGCCCAAATAATGTAAGCTTCGTGACGCTACAAAATTAGACACAAAAAGAGAACTAGTAGCTAGAACCACTTTGGGATTAATTCAAAAACACCAAATTTCATATTATAACCAAATTTAATGATTTATGTGGTAATGGTTGTCTTTCTACATGAAAAATTTCTATCAGAATAATAACACACATTATATTAATCCCTTATTTTTCATTTTTCAGTTTTGTATGCTATAAAAGCGTGTTTTTTTGGTCTTTTTAAATTATATTTATTTTATCTAAACTTTGGGATCAATTAGCCGTATATTGTTTAGAAAAACATTACCACTGATATTTTCCGATTCCGAAGAGGGAGCCTGAAATTAGCTACCAAGCTCAAGGCAGAGGCGCTCAGCAGAGGGTTACAAATGAGGCAGCAGGCGCACTTGTTAATTAAAAAAAAATACTTTTTTCAAATAAAGAAATACATGTAAAGTGAGTTCAAATTATATCAAGGAGTTTACGTATAGCGCCTTCTACCTGCGAATTGGTAAGGCAATAATGTCGATAATTCTGTCAAATACAGATCCCAAGCATTCAAACGGGAAGGATAGTTACAAACAAATAAACAAACAAACAAACATACAGGTGAAGCTAATAAAAGCGTGTTAATAATTAACAATCGATTTCCCCAAAAACATAATTTGATAAAAATTTTCATTTCAGATCCGGCATAGAAACCTTGCCTGGAGAAGATTGTTTGGGCGATGACCCAAATGCTCACAGTTATTCGAGATCGAAGCGGAGTTACGGTTTAACGAATGGAAATAGAAATTACCATCGACGGCCTGATGAATTTATTCAGCAAACAGAAGACAGTGGAAAAACTTCGACCTATGAACAAAGTCAAAATGAATTGGGTCAACTAGAAGACCACGAAAATTTTCAATTTTCTCTTCAAGGACGAGATCAAGCTGAAGTTGGTCAACAAATTGACCATGACTATGATTCAGATTTAACCCAACAAGTTTTAAGTCAAGGTCAACTGGTAGATCATCCAGACCTAACTCAACAAGTTGAAGAAGATTCTGCGTATGGGAAATTGCAACTTTCAAATCATGGTCAACAAGTTTATGATTCAGAAATAACCCAACAACAAGTTGACAATGGAGACTTAACACAACAAGTTGAAGATTCCGGTTATGGAAAATTGCAAATTTCGAATCATGGTCAACAAATTGATGAAGAAATAACCCAACAAGTCGACAATGGAGACTTAACACAACAAGTTGAAGACTTAACACAACAAGTTGAAGAATCCGTTAATGGAAAATTGCAAATTTCAAATCATGGTCAGCAAGTTGATGATACAGACTTAACCCAACAACAAGTTGACAATGGAGACTTAACACAACAAGTTGAAGATTCCGGTTATGGAAAATTGCAAATTTCAAATCATGGTCAGCAAGTTGATGATACAGACTTAACACAACAACAAGTTGACAATGGAGACTTAATTCAACAAGTTGAAGATTCCAATTATGAAAAACTGCAAATTTCAAATCATGGTCAGCAAGTTGATGATACAGACTTAACCCAACAACAAGTTGACAATGAAGACTTAACACAACAAGTTGAAGACTTCAGTTATGGAAAATTGCAAATTTCAAATCATGGTCAACAAGTTGATGACACAGACTTAACCCAACAACAAGTTGACAATGGAGACTTAACTCAACAAGTTGAAAATTCCGATTATGGAAAATTGCAAATTTCAAATCATGGTCAACAAATTGATGAACAAATAACCCAACAACAAGTTGATAATGGAGACTTAACACAACAAGTTGAAGATTCCAATTATGGAAAATTGCAAGTTTCAAATCATGGTCAACAAATTGATGAAGAAATAACCCAACAACAAGTTGACAATGGAGACTTAACACAACAAGTTGAAGATTCCAGTTATGGAAAATTGCAAGTTTCAAATCATGGTCAACAAATTGATGAAGAAATAACCCAACAACAAGTTCACAATGGAGACTTAACTCAACAAGTTGAAAATTCCGATTATGGAAAATTGCAACTTTCAAATCATGGTCAACAGATAACAGAACAGGTTAGTCAATAAATTTATAGGTTTCAAAAGTACTAGAAGGTATACACTGACAATTTATTATTATAATACTAAAAGTTCATAATGAACTTCTCCGTTAACCAGCAGTCGAATGCATAAAAATGACAATCCTCAAAAGCGAAACCTGTATAAACCAAAGATACATAAGTCTCACCTTTAAACGGGTGATTTCTTGTGCGGCGATTATAATGTCATATTATATAACTTTTATAAATAAAATCATAACAAGATAGCGCTGTTTCGACCCGTCATAGGTCTCATCAGTAGCCCTAGGCTGAACCAGAAATGCATTGCTGGACTCTACTCTTGAAGAACAAGTCTGAGTAAACAGACAATTCCACTTTCTGCTTGGCTAAGTTTGTTAAGGGCTAAAATGTATGTCTTGGCACAATCATAACGCTGGAATTGCAAAGGCTGATTCTCAGAAGTTTGGAACACTGTTTCGAACCAGAAAACTACACCTCAGAAACTTCTGATGCTTCATAAAGCTCAGATCAGATCTTCGTTTCAATTCGATTCAAATCCAACGTGAATCGCTACTTTCGCACAGGTACCGCTCTTACAGCACCTTAAGGATTTCTCTGTAGTTTTGTCCTTAAAAAAACTTTGCAACTGATCGTCTTGGGGAGGCTCGTTTATCCTTGATATTCGCGGTTTGAGTTCTCTGTCGATCGCATAGATGGCGTTTTCGTTAGGACAGATGTCATTTCCCTTGTTTACTCAGACTTGTTCTTCAAGGGCAGTTGTGATTTAGCCTAGCATCAATGCTTCAGGCGTCTGAGGACAAGCGGCTCCGTCTAATATCTCCATTGGAAAATAAGTTAATAAGAATGATTGTTAATGCTCCGTGGTTCATACGGAACGAAGCTATCCGCAGAGATTTGCAACTGCCTTCCATTCAGCAATCCATTCAGTCGAGGAATCGGCAAGTCCTTCAGCAATCCATTCAGTCGAGGAATCGGCAAGTCCTTGATTGCGCAGAAACCCACGATAATCCGTTAGTTAAGGAAGCTATAGATTACGCTGTAGACGATCCCTTCCGATATAGAAGGCCCAGACACTCTCTCCAGTGAGGCCCTCATGTCCCCCGTTAACAGATGAACAATTTTTTCATCCATAACACCCCAGCCAGGCAGGGTTTCACCGTGAAGGGCGGTACTGATGTCTGAGGACATTCAAGCCGTTATCTCATGACCAGTTATGACCCATTTGTCCTCCTGACAAGTTTAAGTCGTAAAGATGAGGGAGCCAGGCTCCTACCTCTTTGAAATCAAGATGAAATCAGCCTAGCATCCGTCATGAGCTCTATTTTATTTGATGATTCTACACTCATCAACCTCCGAGTTAATATAGATTTATATAGCCCAAATATTGTAAGCTTCATGACGCTACAAAAGTAGACACAAAAAGAGAACTAGTTTGTCTAAAAACAATTTGGGATTAATTTAAAAACACATATTATTACCAAATTTCATAATTTATGTGGCAATGGTTGTCTTTCCACATAAATAATTTCTATCAGAACAATAACACTTACAAATTATATTAATCCCTTAAAGCTATAGTGTGTACAATATTTGTCGTTAGTCCATGTTTAGCTAAAACAAACAAACTGGATGGTTCGCCCACTCGAGATGCTATGTCTGATTGTCCGTGTGAAAAACATGATGTGCTCAAATCCAAGTCACAGACGGACATTGTTTGGCCTTGGGACTTATTAATAGCCATTGCAAATGCCAATGTAATTGGGAATCGCACACGTTTAAAATGAATTGGCACATTTGTAGGTATAATGGGGATTCTTGCTATCAATATATTTTCACCTGGGAACTTGCATTTGAAATGCTGGCTTCGACGTTTGTGCAACGGCACACCTCGAACACATTGAGGAATCGCACGTTGAAAACTTACAGCCCCATGGAACTGTTACGTTTTTTTCTCAAATCTGATTCATTATTATTAATATATCACTTTCGCGCTTACAATTTTCATCGCGTCATTCACGCTTAATTTTGAAACCGGCAACACTACATTGCCCAATCAACAACGATTTATTTCACAACCGGCAACACCTGCTTGCGCCAGGAACGTAAAACCTCGATACCATCTTCATCTCTCTTTGTCTCGATTACGTCATACGCTCCTCTCGCTCTTACACACACACACATACATGTGTAATGAAATATTAATTCTTTCCCAAATCTAAGTATATTTTCCTAACTTCAACATGATAATGACGATTACAACTTCCCCAACATTCTACGGAAATCAAAAAAAGCTGTCAAGTATATAAAATGAGTCAATTTCGGTCCCGATAAAACTTCGCTATAAATACCCATCATTCGCAGTTACTTTCAATGTCTTACATTGGTGTAGAAGCTTAGGACAATGTCTACCACGCGGACGTCCTGGGTTCTATTCTCATAGCTATAAACTTTTTTTATGATGTCACGAAACCAAAATGTCCTGAGCGAAAAGCTGGGCTGACGTAAGCGCGCCACATGCCTGCGTGGTCTGTCTCGCTGAGAGATACCCCTCGTCGTATATCTGCCTGAATTATTTACTCCACAGAAGATTCAAATCTCCCGCCACAATGTTTTGAGATGCAAAAGCGTGTGCTCTGAATAAATGGCGAGTTGCGTGACAGTTTGAGGACGCTACGTAACAATTTGATACACTCTGATTGGTTCAACGCTGGGTGACAAGACACCACGTGACAATTTGGTTGACTGGATGGTCTGTCTGCCTTGTCTCGCTCAATCCGGGGGTCCCCAGATTGAGCGAGACAGCACGCCGTCACGGCAGAATAGACATAGCAGGTAACATAATAGAAAAAAATGTTTGGGGAGTTGGAACACGTCGCTAGCGAGGGATATTGAAAGTGAATGCGAATAGTTTCGGTTGCGGTATTGTTGATAACCGAGCGCGTTCAACATGACAAGTTGGAAGAGCGTGATAGCAATGCGGTTGAATTATAAAAATAATAATGAATGAAAAATCGGGTTAAAGAAAAAAAAACATGGCGTCTAGCGTTAAAGAAACAACATGGCTGCCATGTGTAAAGGGTGTCTCATTCAAGAAAAAAATGACAGTTCAACAGGGTTCTATCGTTTTTGCGTGCGACCGTTTTTCGTGCGTTTTCGACCGTTTTGCGTGCGATTCCCCAATGTGTGTACAGGGTATCTCAAAATACGCCATTTAAGGAACAAGGCAGTTTAACGGGACTCTAAAACGATGACAAAACGAAACAAAAAAATATTGATATCCCTTCTGGATCTTTCGCGCCAAAGAAAAAAAACATGACTACCATCGTGATATACAGGGTGTCTCAAAATACGCTACTTAATAAAAAAACATCGTTTCTGGCTCAAAATCCAATGCTTTTTCTCATGGAGCTTGAGTTTAGTCATTTTCAGACTTAGTAGCGGTACTTTGTGGTTCTGTGTCTGACCGAAACTGGTTTTTACGACCGAAACCGAATTTCGGCAACGGTCTCAATTTCGATTGAAACTGAAACTTCCTTACAAGGATTATGTTTCGAAGGAAAAATAAAGAAAACGTTATTATAATCAGTCAGTCTTTATTTGTTTATCTTTAATTCACAACGTTATGCAGTCATTTTCTTATTGATAATCAACAAATCAACATAACAATTCCTTATTTTTAAGAAAAAACGGCTTATTTAAGACAACGGCCTACTAACCCGAATTTTGTTCTCCTTAATCGTGACTCAGGCAGCGAAAGCATTCTATTATTTGCTTTTTATCCCAAAAATAGCAATTTATGTAGTAACTTTTGCAGGGTGTAACAAAAAGGTAGGTCATAAATTGAACCACATATTCTGAGGTCTAAAATAACTAGATTGGATACATCTTACCTTAATGAAAATGTGCACAAAAAAAATTACAGCCCTTGGAAAGTATAAAATGAAAATCTTTTTTTTTAATATATCAGAACTGTTTAAAATTTTGTAATGCAAACGGTTCCATGGCTTTCTTATCGTTAAATTATATAAAACCACCAAATCTGTTCAGCCCATAAACATTTTAGGGTGGTATTGAACCCTTAAAACCCCAAAAGTTTCTATTCATTACAATTAAATTAGTATTGTGACACTATTGGTATAATACATCATTTTTTAAATTTTATGCCACTTGGCACTTTTTTTCGAAAAGCCAGTTTTATCGAGATGCAGGCGCTTTTTCGGTATCCTTTGAAAATTCATTACTTGGCTGTTCTGCCAAAAATGTCGCCACTTTCTGTGAGAGTGTGCAGGGGAATCCGAGGCAGTAGATTTCTAATTGTTCACAAGAACTCGGTCTTTCGCAGACCACAATTTGGCGAATTTTGCGTCGTGACTTGAGCCTGTACCCTTACAAAATTCAACTGACCGACGAACTGAAGGAAAACAACCATAGACAACGACGTGTGTTCGCTGAATGGGCTCTGAGTGGTTGGCAACTAATGCTAATTTTCATCGAAAAATCATCTTTAGCGATGAGGCTCATTTCCGGATAAATGGCTACGTGAACAAATGAAATTGTCGAATTTGGAACGATACCAATCCACATGAAATCCAACAACGTTCAATGCATCTCGAAAAAGTCACCGTTTGTTGTTGATTTTGGGGTGACGGTCCATCGGTCCATATTTCTTTGAGAACGACGTTGGACATGAATAACGCCTTTGCCTGCGTTGGTCAAATCCGAAGGCCTTACAAGTGGCATCTTCCCGCTCTCTAGCGCCACCACTGTCAGGGAACCCCTACTCCTCCGAACTCTCGATGCGTAACACGTCGCACACACGAGGGGGCGAAACTAGCGTAGCAGAAGACCCATTTTTTTTATTATCCCAAAATAACAACATATAACTCAATAATAATTACAAAAATAAACTCATTTTTCTTATCACAATTCTCAGTGTCCATAAAAAAAGAACCTAACAAACAGCAGCACAAATTCATAGTACAAATGAATTTCGCCCATCCCATATAGCCCCATACAAATATTTCGACGGAGTATTCTACATAAACCAACTCACTGTCCTGCCTGAACTGAGTCTGCCACTACCACCTGTCAGTGGCGTTTCAGTTTTATTTGGTCCACTACCGATGCCTCGTAAGCCAGCAGCTTACCATTCATTCGTTTCCCTCATCCTTCACCACATTCTCCGCCCATTCATTAACAATTCCATTCATATCTCTTACGCTCGAACGCTCCATAACCTCCTTCCACTCCCTCCATCCAATCTTGTCCCCGTCCATGCATCTATCAATCACATGCTCTGCCGTTTCAGGCTCTCCATAGCCACAGGGGCTCGGCAACTCAGGCCCCAGGTTAAATCTAGCCAGGTATCCCGGAAAATTGCCATGCCCTATAAGCAGTTGGACAGGCCATCACTGTCAACGCCAAGCATTAAACACAACACAACAAAAAAATATTTTTTGAATGTTTCCTACACTAAATTAGTCAATTTCTACTAATTTTGGGGTGATAAAAACGAAAATGACAATGAAAAATTTTTATTAGCTCTGGTTTTTGAGATACACAGTACTTAATCTTAAAGAGTAGTTATACTATACGTGAAAAGTGAAAGTACATAAAACAATATTGTTATGTTTCTTTTAGAA